AAAAAAAAAAAAAAAAAAAAAAAAAAAAAAACCTAGCTGGATATAATGATTTGATATAATGATTTGATTTTTTTTTCTCTAAGACAACCACCTACCCCTGAGCCCTGAATTAAATGCTTTTCAAACCGTGGACTATTTCCTAGGGGCAAAAGAGCAACAAAGGCTTGGATAACACTGGCTCGGGAGAGGGAGACAGGCCTGCCTGAGCTTCACTTCTGCTGTGTGGGACAGGGACCTGGGTGGTAGGCAGGGTGAAGTCTGGTGAGGCCCACTGGCTCTGACCTGGAGCTCTGCACATTCTAGGCCTCCTTGGTGGGCCAGGCCAGAGGTATTCACCTCTGCCCAGATCCAGCCTCTTAGAGCTGGCCTGGCCCTGCTCCAGCTAGAGTGGAGGTCATGGAGTGCAGGGGCCAAGAGGTTACAGCAATACCTGGCTTTGTCTGTTTCCCAAGCTTGATCAGCCCTTTTTTTTCTGGGAATGCAAACAGTGATTCACAAGGCCCTTTGGAAAGTGGTGTTCTATGGTAAGGGAGTGGAGGGACCAGTGTCTCACTCCTACTCTCCACTCTGGTGCACTGTGGTTATTTCTTTCATTCATTTGTTCATTTAGTGGTGCTGAGGATGAACCCCTCACACATGTTAAGCAAGTGTTCTACCATCGAGCCATACCCCAGCCTGGACGGTTCATTCTTGTGGAGGCCTTGACCAGGAGGAGGAGACAGCAGAATCTAAGGAAAGCGACAGACTGCTGGAACTACGACTAGTTCCTGTGATCATAGCCCCAGGGGCCCATCCTGTGCCTCTAATAGGAAACTGAATAACAAGTTGTTTTGTGTAGTTGCTTTCCAAGCCATGCCCCTGGTGGTGTTGCAATAAAAAAGGCTTTGTTTCCTAAGCTACATAGAGAGACCCTGTCTCCAAAAAATAAAATAACCTGGTGTGGGAGTACTCACCTGTGATCTCAGCACTCAGGAGATGGCGGGCCATCTGAGTTCCAGACTGGTCTGATACGTATATGAGTGTCTCGGCACCCCCTCACCAAAACAAAAAAGGACAGGGCGCCAAGTTAAGGGAGAGGGGGATCCTGATCATCTTCCAGCTTGTTTTCAGTTGAGGATGGGCTGGCAGGCCTACCCCAGCCTCTCCAAGAAAGGGCTAACAGACATGCCTGTGTGGAGCGCTGGGAAGCATCTTGAGTGTGGCTGGGGATTTTCACAAGGTCAGCTTTGGGGTCTTGCCAGCTAAATGACTCAACTTAATGACTTCTCTAAGCCTTGGACTCCCACTCCAGTTGCTAGAAAGGCCCAGATAACTGAAAGCCATGGTGCTCTGTTCACATTAAGGGAGAGTACAGGCTCTAAGGATGGAGCGGGGCGGGCAGCAGCTGGCCAATGACTAGGAACTTGGAGAGACTTAACGAGTGGCTACAAATAGGCCACCCTGCAAGCAGAGGCAGTCGACTAGTCTTCCCTAGAAGAATCTGCAGTGACAAAAACCCCTTGCCAAACCATTTGCCGGTATAGACCCTTCTTGGCCCTTTATCTCCTAGAACTTGGAGTAAGCCTAAGATAGACAGTATTGTTCCCACCTTATCTGCAACACTGAGCCAGGCTGGCTGCCTAGGTCCTGGGCAGCAGTTAAGCAAGGCAAATGGGAGAGAAGGGACTACGTTGTGGCCCAGATGACCAGGCAGGCATCTGTTGTCTGAACTTGCAAACACTGTCATGTTAACATGTACATCGGTCAAGAACCACAACAAACCACTCAACAGAACGTACGGTCGAGTGGGCACTGTCCACAGAACACCATACAGAGGAGGCCCTGCCCACCCCCAACCTAGTCCACTGAAGCTGCTTTTAAAGTTTGCACATGTGCCTAGGGTAACAAAGGGATGGAGTCAAGTGTTCAGCCCCAGCAGGTAATGTCCCAGGTCCTTATTTCCATGATTAGGCCACAGGAAGGAGGAGGGTCAGGCAGGGGTCAAGCCAGCCGGGGCAGGGCATGTGGGCACTGTGACCCTGTGAAATGCATGTGGTCCAAGAACCAGTCAGCCAAGGCGGGAGGAACAGAGTGGGTACTGCTTATGGTCCGCCTTCCCCAAAGGGGTCTCGGTCCCTCTATTCTGTAGGCCATGCTTCTCCCAGGAGGGGTCCGGGCTGCTGCGCCCAGCAGGGGTTAGCAGTACACCTGGAGCAAGGGTGCCCCCGATGAGTCCGTGTCCGTGCCCTGGAAAGATGAGTCGTGGCTGGCTGGGTACCCTGGTAGGGGGAGGAAGCAGAGGCTCAGAGAGGTGAAGGAGCTCGTTCAGGGCCCACTGCTAGGAAGCAGCCTGCTGAGAAGGAATAGAGCAGGGCTGGAACCTGGTCAGTCATCCTGCCTGGGAGACCCACTCAGTTGTGACTTCTGATCCCCAGCCTCCCTCTCTGTAAAAGGGTAATGACCCTGCTCCCCGGGTGTGAGGGGGGCGTTGTGAAGGGACAGAAGAGAGTAGTGGAAACCAAATAACTTTGGCAGAGGCTGGATATCCTGTACTCCATCTTGCTCCCCAGGGACCCGTCTTCATTAGAGATTAGGTAGGGTTGGATCACTTCTAAATCTTGTGTTCTGGACACCTGCCCCTTCCTTTAAGCCAGTTATAGCAATGGGATGGTTCTGTGCTGCTCAGGCCTCTCACACCCTTCTGATCTCATTCTTGCCCACCCCAAGAAGCTAGGAGGAGCATGTGTGGGGTCCTTAGGGTAGTCTCCCACCCTCAGCACTCCTCATCAGGTCCGGACCACACCTGGGGCTCCATATGGCCTCAGCTTCCTGGCGATGGCATCTGCTGTCGTCTCCTGGGATATCTGCACCATCAGTTCTGGGGGAGAGGGGACACAAAGAGCAGTGATCATTACCACATCTTCTCAACCCACTCCTCATTCTGCTTGTGACCCAAGTGAGGAGAGGACCACTTGCCCTGGGCGGGGCTAGAGAAATAATACTTAAACAAGGATAAACTGTGTGTGTGTGCGTGTGTGTGGTGGTAGGTAGGTAGGTGATTTGGTTACACCAGCCAAGTCAGAAGTCCAGACTCATAAGGGCCCTGGGTCTTATTACTCTGGCAGGTGGTAGCAGGAGAGAAGAAACCTGTTACGTGAGCTTGATGACCTGGAGAGAACTTTGTCCTTTCTGGGAATAGCAGTGGCCAGAGAGCCCCCAGGGTCTGCGTGCTCCTCCCAGTCTTGCTCAGACCTCACTGGGAAGGGGCAGAGTGGGAGCTGGGGTGAGCCATGCACAGGAGTTGAGAGGGAGGAGAACTGGGAATGGCTAAGGGGAGGACCACAGTGGCTACAGCCTCCCCACTGTGCCCCTCCGGCCCCACCTACCATCTTGGCTGAGACCTGAGCCCACCATGGTCTCATGGCCACTGTCTGGAGCGGCAGCAGTGGGGGCAGCAGCCCGGGCTGGGTGCCCCTCTGAGGTCTGTGGGCGAGTGCGACTCTTTCGGGTACTGATACGAATGATGCCACGCACAAGGCGGCCCTCAGCATCCTGCTCATCCAGGTGGTAGTCCTGTGTGATGCTGTTGATCAGGTCCGAGATCTTACTGGTCTTCTCCAAGAACACAGTGTCTGATGTGCACTTGGCCAGCTCATCGATCTGGTGGACGCTGAACAGCTCAGTCAGCTTCTTGAAAATGAGCACATCAATCTCCCGGCTTGACATGGAGCCACTTCCCATCTCGGGCAGGTCCAGGTCCGACTCGTGGAAAGAGTAGTACTCCTCAGAGCCACGGGGGCTGCTGGGAAGGGTGGTAGGCAGGCTGTGGCGCATGGGAGGGGGCTCGGCCAGTGGCTCCTTATAGCAGGAGTCCGCATCAAGGGTTGGGGAGGTGGTGCTGCGGTAGGGGTATACGGGGATGCCTTTGAGCTTGACGTCAGGGTAGCTAAAGCTGCTCCCCATGGCAGACTTGAGCCGCTGGCTATCCCTGGGGGGTGCACGGTCAGGGCTCGGGGGCACCCCATTGTGCTCCTTGGCCCAGTTATCTTCGGCAGCCCCCTGGACAGAGTCCTCAGCAGACAAGCAGGGGCTGCAGCCCCGCACACAGGTCCCGCAGCGCTGCAGGCAATCCCAGCAGCGACGGAAGCAGAAGGCAGCACGGCACCAGTCCCACCCCCAGGGCCGCCAGAGCAGGCAGCAGGCAGGGGGTTGGGTGGCCGGCTCAGCAGATCCAGAAATAAAGGTAATGCTCTCTGGCCCTCGGTGGCCAGGGTCCTTGGAGTCTGGCCTACGGGTGCGTCGGCCTGGTGGGGGCTGGGGTGGCTCATCGTAGGTCTCCAGGCATAGCTCTGTCGGCCGTTCCCAGGGTCCTAAGCGAGCCGGCCCAGATGACGGGCGAGGCTGTCCTGGCCGGGGCATGGCTCACTGCATGGTTTGCTGTAGCCAGGCACCTGCAGGGGAGAAGCCAGGACCAGAGGTCAGGGACAAGCTGCTGGGTTGACCCAAAGAGCTTCATCAGACTTCTGGCTTCTAAAGAGGCCTGTGATATGGATGGGTCAAGGATGCCCATATACCCACATCTGCTGTGCTCTTCTCTCCCAAAGTAAAAATTCTCTCTGTGGTCTAAGATTTTAAAATTTACTGGGACTTCACACCCATTGAATGGCTGTTATTGAAGGAGAAAGAGAGGGGGAAGGAGGAGGAGGAGGAGGGGAAGAAACCCAGAAAATAACACGTTAATGAGGATGTAGATAAATTAGAATCCTTGTACGTTGTTAGTGGGAATATAAAATGGTACAGCTACTGTGAGAGACAACATGGCAATTCCTCAACAATTTAGCCAGGTGTAGTGGCACATGCTGTAATCCCAGCACTCTGGGAGTCTGAAGCAGGAATACTGCAAGTTTGAGCTCAGCCTTTGCAATTTAGAGTCCTGTCTCAAAATAAAAAATAGCTGGGTGTGATGGTGCACACCTGTAATCCCAGCACTCGGGAGGCTGAGGCAGGAGGATCGCTGTGAGTTCGAGATCAGCCTGGGCTACATAGTGAGTTCCAGCTCAGTCTCAACTACACAGTGACATCTGCCTCAAAAAACAAAACAAAACAAAACAAAACCAATAAACAAAAAATAAAAAATAAAGGGCTGAGGATGTAGCTCAGTGGTAGACTGCTTGCCTAGCATTTGTGAGACCCTGCATTTGATCCCCAGCACCGTTAGAAAAAAAATTAAATGTAGAATTATATGATTTAACAATTCCAGATGTACAAAAGAAAACGTAACTTGAACAGGTATTTTTGTACATTCCTATAGTGAAAACAACACAAGTATCCAATAACAGATGAATGACTAAACAGTGTATGGTATATCCATATAATGGAATATTATTCAGACATAAAAAGGAATGGAGTTCTGATACATGCTAAAACATGTATGAATCTTGAAGACATAATAATAAGTGAAGTAAGACAAGGACAAATATATTCTTTTATATGAGATATCTAGAACAATCAGATTCAAAGGGCCAGAAAGTAGAACTGTGGCTGCCAAGGCAGGGTGAGAGTGGGGTGGGTAGAGAATTAGTGTTCAATGGATGTAGAATTTCTGATAGGAAAGATGAAAAAATTCTGGAAATGGTTGTGATGTAAATATTTTTAGGTCTATAATATTGTACACTTAAAAATAATTTTACAAAAGAATTAAAATGCAAATTTTCCACTTTTTTTTTTTTAATGCTGCTGAGGATCTAATCTTGTGTGTATGCCGGGTAAGTGCTCTATCACTAAGCTACACCACCCAGCCCCTATAATACTAATTTTTTCTTTTTCAGCAGTACTGGGGCTTGAAACCAGGAGCGCTCTACCACTGAACTATACCCCAGCACTACTTTTTTATTTTACAGCAGGATCCTATTTAACTGCCCAGTTGGCTGGGCTTGAACCTATAGTCTTTCTGTCTCAGCCCCCAAGTAGCTAGGATCACAGGCATGTGCCACTATGCAAAGCAAAAGTGGCACTTGTACCACAAAAAATGTTCTCTGATCTCACTGTTGAAAAATAATTTCTCTGGTGGCCCAGTGCTGAACCTCTGAGGCTGCTTAACAAATGCCTTTCTACCTGACCTACTATGGAAACTGGTCATGACCACTTTCCTTTTTCTATCCTTCAAGTCAGGCATGGAGTGGTCCTCTTCAGTCTGACTCAGATTTACACTCGTAGAACATTTAAGAACAAGCGGTTTTGCTGCCTTTGATTAGACAAGAAAACTGAGGCTGGTCCTATGTCAGTTACTGTAGAACCAAAGATAAATGAACTGCAGACCCTGTTCTTGATGATTTACACATGATTTTATAGGAAAAACAGATATTTAAAATTAAAAGCTGGGACCGGGGATTTAGCTTTCAGTGGTTCTGCCACTTGCATTGCAAGCACAAGGACCCGAGTTTGATCCCCGGTACAAAATAAATAAATTAAATTAAATTAAATTAAATTAAAAGCTTATGGATGCCAGATATGGTGGAGCACACCTGTAATCCCAGCACTTGGGAGTCTGAGGCAGGAGGATTGCTGTAAGTTCAAGGCCAGCCTGGGCTACACAGCAAGACCATTTTTCTGTTTTAAAAACCTTATAAAATGGGCCAGCTGTGTTGGTACATGCCTGTAATCCCTGCACTCTGGGACACAAAAGAGGAGGGTAGCAAGTTCAAGTCCAGCCTGAGCAACTTAGTCACTTAGTGAGATCCTGTCTCAAAAACAAAACATAAAAAAAGGGCTGGGATTGTAGCTCAGTGTGAAGGCCTTGGGTTCAATTCCTGGTCCTGAAAAAAAAAGAAAGAAAAAAAGAAAGTTTATAAGATAGATAATGTTGGATTGGTTACAGCACTTTCCTCGAATGTGTGAAGCCCAAGGTTCCAGTCCCAGCAACACCTAAAAAAACAAAACAAAACAAAACAAAAACACATAGGATATATGAGGCATTATGGGAGCAAATAACTGCCTTAGGGAGTCGGGGAAGGTTTTGCAGCAGGTGTTTGAGAGGGGCCTTAAATCACAGGTAAGGGTTTGCTGGGCAGTAACTGTCCTTAGCCTGTCTTTACTGAGATACAGATCCTTTGTCCTTTTATCTCTGATTTAATGAGATTAGTGTCCTAAAAACTGGTGATGCATGAGGAACAGGGACTGGGCACCAAGATATCTGTATTCTAGTTCCAGTTCTGGCCCTTACAAGCTATGTGCCTTGGGCAAAACAATGCCACCTCCCTAAACAGGGCCACCATCATCTCTCACACAAATGCCTCAATGCCCCTATTCTGGCCAGCTCCAATCTCTTCTGCTTGTTGCAGTCAGTGAAAAGTTAAACTACAAATCTTCTGGTAGGCACCACTTTAATCAAAGTTAGTATCAGCCAGTGAAAAGTTAAACTACAAATCTTCTGGCAGGCACCACTTTAATCAAAGTTAGTATCAACAATAACGGGATGAAAGGACATCAGGTACCTCCTGATGCCATGCACTAAGAAGAATACATCACTTTGAAGGATTCTTGCCAAAAATGCATAGCCTGAATGTAATCATGAAGAAACACCAGACAAGCCCAGCTTGAGACAGGAGAACTAAATACAGTGTTACCTGGAACGGGATCAGGATTAGGAAGAAAAACTAGAAACTACATAATGTTAAAAAACTAGAAACTGGATAATTGGTAAAATTAGAAAATAGACTACATTATATAATAATAACATCAAATTTCCTGAATTTGATTACTATAATTATTTAAGATAATTTCCTCATTCTTAGAAAATACCAAAGCCCTGAGAGGTAAAAGAATATGATGTCTGCAACCTAATTTCAAAAGTTTCAAACCAACCAACCAACAAATGTCTGGAAGCAGCTGGGTGCAGTGGTGTATGCCTGTAGCCCTAGTCACTCGGGAGGCTAAGGCAAGAGGATCACAAGTTCCAGACCAGACCAACCTGGGCAACTTAGCAAGACACTATCTCCAAACGGACTGGGAATGTAGCTCAATCCCCAGTACCACAAAACCAAGTACTGGGTTCAATCCCCAGTACCACAAAACCAAGCAAACAAAACAACAACAACAAAAAAACAAGCTATGGGCAGACAGAGGAGGAGGGCAGTAACATCTGCTACTGATGGATGGCGAGGATACAGTTGTTCCACTCCTCTGACCCCACTCAGCACTCCAACAACTGCGAGGACCCCTCATCAGAGGCAGCCCCTCTCTCCCGGCCTTCTGCTGGGTTCTCTGTGGGCTGGCTCAGCCTTGTACCCAGTGTTCCAGGATAAGCCTGTCCACCCAAGCATGTGGGCTTGAGGGGCAGAGCCTGTGTTGGCTTCCCTTCTGATTCAGTCTGGAAGAAGTTCAGGTTAGGAGAAGATTCAGAGGACAGAAGCTTTCTCTGTGGCCTCAGGATAAAACCAGAACCATTGGGTGGAAAGAAAAAGGATGTAGGCTCAATCTGACCAGAGTGGAAACCAACAGTCTTGGAGGAGGGGGTACGTGAAATCCCATCTCCAAAGGTGTGCAAACTGAAACTGGAGTGACTCTGAAATCCTTCAGAACCCAGAGGCATTTGATTAAAAATTTTCCTTGGTTCGGACCAGGGATTTAGCTCAGTGGTGCCGCCAGCTACCTCACATGCGCAAGGTCCTGAGTTTGATCCCCGGTACCAAAAAATTTTTTTCCTTGGTTTGAGCAACGTAGTGCTGGATTCATTCATTCACTCAGTTAAATATTTACTGAAGGGCTGAGTGTGACAGCACATCACTGTAATCCCAGTACTCTGGAAGGCTGAGGCAGGAGAATCGCTAGTTTGAGCCCTACCTCAACAACTTAGACCATCTCGCAACAAAAGAAAATTTACTGAAGGCCTGCTCTGTGCCAAACACTGTTCTAAATTCTGTGGATACAGTAGTAAAATTTTGCACACTAAACTGATCATTGATGGCTTACACTGTTCTAAGTGCTCTGTCTGTAATAAGCCAATTCATTCTCACAACCCTCTTTGTAGTACTGTAACCATGTTGAAGCACTGAGAGGTTAAATAAGTTATCCAAAGCCACACTTCTGTGTGTACTCAATTTGGCCCCAGACTCTTCACTGTCCTTCCAAGCTCTCAAAAGAAGAATCTTCTCGGGCTGGGTATTTGGCTCAGTGGCTCCGCTGCCTGCTTCACAAGCACAAGGTCCGAAGGTTCGATCCCCAGTACAAAAAAAAAGAAGCGTCTTCTCCTCTACCCCATCCCATCTGTTACTTGCAAGGAAAGGGGCAGTCAAAGCTGCGGGCTGCACAGACAAGACTCTGCCCAGGAGAGCCTGCAGAAAGAGCACAGAGCCTTCCATACCTTTGGTGGGAGTGTGTACACCGATCAACCACACTGAGCTCCGAGGTGCCTGGCTTGGTAAGAGCATCAATAGTCACTGACCACGGGCTTGGTCATGTTTCCTTCCTCACTTCCAAGGCTTTAGGACTCACTGCTGTTGATTAAGTGTATCCATTGTATTTATTGTTGGGCCCGGGACTGTACTAAATGTTGAGGAAACAGCAGTGAATGGGCCAGAAACAGGCTTGAACCCAAGACTTTCACATTATTTAACAATCGCCCTGTGAATAAATATTACATTATCCACTTTACAGATCAAGAATCTGGAGCTCTGGCTGGACATAGTGGTGCATGCCTGTAATTCCAATACTCAGGAGGCCGAGGCAGGAGAATTGCCATGAGTTTGAGGCCAGCCTGGGCTACACAGGGAGTTCAAGGCCAGAATGATCTACATAGTGAGCCAGTGTCTCAGAACAAGAACAAAAACAAAATTTAAAGCACCCCAGGGTCTGGTGGTTCCTCTGCCACCCCACACTTCACTGATGCTTGCCTCTTTCCCCTTAGCTCTGTGGACACACATGCTCAGGGTTCTGTCTCCGCACAGTCCCCTTCTCTCAGGGTCCCCAGGGCAGGCCGGCCACAGCAGCACCCGCCCCACCCCTCTGTCCAGCCAAGTCTCGAACACAGTCCGGGAGGAGCAGCCCGGCTCACGACCCTCGGCTCGGACGCGGGACGTCGGTGCATCCTTCCCCGCAGGGGAGAACCAGATGCCTGCACGGCCCCCGGACCAGAGCAGACTCTCCGCCAGCACTGCCCTCGGGGCGAGCGCAACCCTGACCAGCGGCAAGGTTTCTACCGGCTCCCGGGTCCTGACACCGGTCCCCGGGGTGGCACTG